TGTTGTCATACAGTTGTCTACGGCAGCAGATCGTTCTGTGTTTCTACTGGTCAAAGTGACGGCTGTGATGGGAGAATTGGATCTCAGTGAAGGGCAAGTGGTCCATAACTTTAATTTTGGAGACAAAAAAATGTAGGCTTAGTGCCCTGTGGTCCATTGCCCAATAGGAAATGTAGAATACTCAAAGGTACCTTAAAAGTACTTGAGTTACTTTACTCAGGGAGTAACACAGTAAAGTAACTAGTTACTTTTCAAATTAATTTCAAATTAGTTACTTTTTCAAAGTAATTTGATTACTTTTAAAGTAACCCTTACCCAACTCTGGTTTACACCAATAACTGAGCTGATGGTGATAACAGCACTAACAGATCTAACAGTACTTAACTAAGGAGGAGCAAAGCTGTTCGTTCAGGAAGGCGTTACAAGCTGTAAGTGCCAACTGAGCAGCCCCGCTAGCTAATTAGGTCCCACAAGACCCAGGTGGTGAACAGTGCAATAAACTGAAGAATGGAAAAATGAACCTATAGACTGATATGCTTAACTGGTCAAAAATATTTTTGGTGATTAACAGTCAACTGCTGACATCACTAACCATGGCATTCAACAAAGATTTTTATATGTATGTAATGGACTGAAAGAGTTTAGAGTGCCTATGGAACATTGCACACGTACCATTAGTAGTGATGCAATATCTATGTAGTAGGTTTGGTGTTATGATGAGGATGGCTCCAGTCTGTCACTGAGCCATGATTTTAGGCCCACACAAAAAAATCCTGGACACAGAAATGGTTAAAAGTAGGTTAAAGGTCTAAATTCACAATGCAGTACTGTATAGTTCCCAGTCTATTAACAAAGTTTTACATGTCAGATTTTACATGTGTGATATGTTAAGAAAGAAATCAGTGATTTTGCTTTACCCCTTAAGTTCTGACATCACCTCCGGGACAGCTGCTATAACTCAGTGCTGTGTATAATGTCCTACACTGAGCATCCTCTCTGTGAAAAACTGAATGCAACCCCATGCTGTCAAATTCATTAAGGCTTGTTGAGGAGCTTATGCTATTCTGAATTGCCGCCGAAAGTGCATTAGAATAAGGTGAAGTAATAGGAATAGCTGAAAAAGTGGAAAAGGGTCTAATTAGTATAAATATCATTGAAAAGTTAAATAACACCTATAATGTTTTAAAAGATGTGGAACTGATTTGCTGACTTTAAAAGTTGAATAATGCCTTCGAGATATTAAAGATGTGGAACACTGTAAAGTTTGATTTGAGGTTCTAGCTAAAAGTATAGAGAAGTGTAAAAGAGATGAAAAATGCTTTTAAAAAGACAGAAAATGTCTTGTGTATGTGTCTATGTATGACAAACTGCACCTAATAACTGATCTAATTTACCTGTGCGTCTCCAACTGCAACCAAAGGTCACACTGGTAAGTGTGTCCTGGGTCAGAGTTAAGAGATACAGAGTTACAGAGATGTAACTAAGGCACATATCTTATATAAAACAAACCCAAATCAGCGTGAGAGAGAGGACACACTGATGAACACAGTGTGTGGAATGTTTGTGTTTAGTTTTAAAACAATCTGAGCAGGACACCAGGTTGTCTAATTTTGTTTGTAAAATGTCTTAAGTCCTCTCTCTGCATGTGTATGTGTCTGTGTGTGTCAAACTGAACTCATGAGATTGCAATGGGAATGATAACTGCTAAGTGACTCCTGAGTCAGGCAGTTAATCTCATAGAGATTAAGTCGAAGCGCACCTTTCAAACTCCTGGCCTTTTGTCAAAAATCATAGTCTTATTACAATTTGTATACCAAGAGAATGGACAACCTGATGAATAAGCAGCATAAAATGTGTATGTATAGTGTAAAAATGGCTTGACGGAGGGCGCAGGTTAGAAAACTGGCATGATATGCTGCCCTCCAGAAATTTCTGGTCTCAGGGAACACTGAAATCAATGCAGCAGTTGGTGTTTTTTTTTACTTTCAGGCTCACTGTGCTAAAAGTGTAAGTGTGTTTGCTTCCACAGCAACATTATCTGAAAGAGCACAAGTTTTACTTAATTTTGACCAAAAATTATGTATGCAGACTGAAAAGTGTGGGCGTGACTATAGGTACGTCCCAAGTGCCTTAAAATTACTGCTAATCACCTAACCTAGCCACCTTACCTAACTGTTTAGTCCCTCCCACTTAGGAAAACATTTAAGGAATCAGGAGTTAGAAGTGAGGAGCGAGGATTGCTGATAAGAGACATGAGACGGCCTTACTCTGAAGCGTCACGTAAAGCGACGTCCTTTTCTGATGACGGCGCGACAGCTGGATCTGCTGCATAACGGAGCCAGCGTTTGGTGTACATCCTAAGTCACATTATATTCGCTGATCAAAGCCGTAACAACCCCCCCTCCCCCCGCCATCAAGACTTTGTTCACACACTTCAATGGAGTTTGTCACAATTAAAGGTCTGTAGCCCTGCCACTGTCACAGTGATGAGCATCATTATCATTATTATTATTATCATCATTATTATCACTATTATTAAATCCACTCGCCATCATTCAACAAGTCAGCTGCTGAGTGAATAAGAGATATCAGACCTGTCAGTCTGCCTCAATCAATTCAATTTTATTTATAAAGCCCAGCATCACAAATCACAATTTGCCTCACAGGGCTTTACAGCATACTACATCCCTCTGTCCTTAGGACCCTCACAGCTGATCAGGAAAAACGCTGCAAAAAACCCTTTAACGGGGAAAAAACGGTAGAAACCTCAGGAAGAGCAGCTGAGGAGGGATCCCTCTTCCAGGACGGACAGACATGCAATAGATGTCGTACAGAACAGATCAGCATAATAAATTAACAGTAAAACAGTAATCCGTATGACACAATGAGACAGAAAGAGAGACAGAGAGAGATGCAGGACAGACGGTAATGACAGTAACTTACAACAACATTAATTAAGTAATAATATTAATATTAATAATTAATATAACCTACAAGCTATCAAACATTATTCCACTCACATGACATGCAGGACAATTAATGATGGGCAAATGTGTTTGTGTATGTGTGTGTGCGTGGTGTTATATCACTCGAGCAGCTGCACAACGCAGCGGATTGTGAATGAAATAAACTTAATTACAACATGACAGTCTTGCAGGAAATATCATCAACGTTACTCATTGTAGTCACGTAGGCATGTGAATTACAGCGTTTCATTGCAAAGAATGCATGTAATGGGTACACTTGCGCTGTTTCTCCACCATCTCGTTCAAATGAGACAGACGTAGGGGGCGGGTATTTATACGTCAGGGCCTCAAGCTGAAAAAGACTTCCTGTTAGGAACCTCTCGTGTTACCTTACTCATCGCACCTAACAGATCCCTCCTAACGCCTAACGCTAACTCCTTACTGGCAGGAATAAGAGACATGAGACGGCCTTAAAGATGGCGGCGCTCTAACGACTTCCGGTTCAAGTAAGGAGTTAGGAGTTAGCAGTATAAAATAAGAGACTTGGGATGTACCCAGTGAGTTAAAGAGAAAGGTTTAAGAACTCTCTCCACTCCAACTGCTGAGTCCCCCACCCTAGCTCTGAACATTCTGTTCAATACAAACCAATGTAAACACCTGAAAAGGGCATTTTTACCCTGCTCCAAACAAGTTTGAGTATTTCAAAAGTTTAAATGGAATTTGAAAGTTGAATCAGAATGTATGAAAGACGATATTTGAAATTTGAATGGAGTTTCTAAATGAATGTATTATGAGGAGATAAGAATTGAAAATGCATGAAAAACCTCTAATTTGTGTCAGATTTGAATATTCCATCCATTCACTTGAATGGGGGAAAAATACCCAAAAACAAATATTTTTGGGAAGTACAGTATGAAGGTTGTGAATGAGAAAAGTCATAGCAATCATGACCTAATTGAGCAGAATATTTTGATGTTTGAATGCAGTTTCTATGTTGAAAAATGTGGAAGGAGTTAGATGACTAGCATTAGGACAAAAAGTTACATTCAATTAAAAATGAGATTCTTAAGAACAAACAACAACTCAACAGTCAGCTCAAAAAACTTAACAGGCCTATAATTTTCTATTTATTTGGGAGGAGTACCTCACACAGTCAAAAACTGAAGACGAGTTGTTCTTGATACTAACAGATTCTCTTTTTTTCTTTTTGTCATAAAGATGAGGATCAGAATGTTTACTATATAGTGATGGACATCTGTCAGGGAGGGAACCTTGCTGCAAAGATCAGAGAGATGAGTGACTCTCCACAAGAGTCTGAGGTACAGCAATCTAATACGAAAGACATTTCGGATTAACATCAATGAAAATGACAGTGATGTTCCTCTTTAAGTACCATGATTTGTTTGCTAGGTACTGAGCTGGATTGCTGAGATCTGTGTGGCTTTGAAAACCATTCATGAAAAAGGCATTCTTCACAAATGTCTGACACCAGAGGTACTACACATATTACACTAACCCTGAATAAGAGAACATATGTATTGATGATGTGATACTTAGGCCATGTTTACACGAAAACGATCCACTGAAAACAGAATCGTTTCTCATTTTCATTTTGAAAAAAGTTCCGCGTTTAGACGACAACGTTTTGATAACAATCGCCATGCACACGGATCCACAAAAATGACCAAAAACGCTGCAGTATACATGCCAGGCCAGTAGTTGGTGGTGTGACACTTACACTTCCTTCTACAGAGCGGCGATGTATAAACAAACAAAATCGCAACCGCATGAACATTTGTCTGGATGGACGACGAGTTGGAGTTGCTACAGTAAATCTACACTACGATGGGGAACGTTGATAAATTCAACAGGCTGAGCAGCACAAGCAGAGCTCGGGAGTCCGCCATTGTTGTTGTGATGGTCGACTTTCTTGTGCGTGCCTAGTGACTGGAAGCGTAATGCGCATGTGCGAAAAGTCTCCGTTTTCAGAGGAACTGCATACTGCAAGTTTACATGACAACGGAGACGGAGCCATTTCCATAAAATTGCACTCTGGAACCCGTTTTCAAAACGTTGCATTTTCAGGCACCCAAAACGCCGCTTTTGTGTAAATGATCGGCCAAAATGCAACTAAAGTTTACTGTTTTCAGTTGAAATCGTTGTCATACAAATGGGACCTTAATCATACAAATTAATCCTTATATGTTTTTCTTTTTTTTTAAATGGGCTTTCAGGCTGTCATACACCATTTTATCCTGAAAAATCTCATAAATACTTCTTACCATTCCTCTTTCTATAGAACGTGCTCCTCACCGAAATTGGAACAGTGTGCTTGGGCGGATTTGGAAATATCCATGAAAAGTACTGTACCCTGTTTTTCTGTCTCTCTTTCCCTCTTTTTTTGCTCTATTGGTGCATGTTGTTGTACTGATACATTTGATTTGTTTTCACACAGTTCAACAAAAACTCCAGTAAGCACTAATTCACAGCAGACAATAAATTATCTGCCACCAGAAGCCTTCACAGAGGGGACCTATGATGCTAAGAGGTAAAAAAAAAAAATGTTATTACCAAAATAAGAAATCTGCTTAATAACTGGACACATCAACAAATCAATTTGGTTTAGGTTGTTATTACAAAAAATGAATGTGCACAGTGTAAATAAATCAGAAAAATCCCAAAGCGATAAACTGAATGTTTTTAAAAAGGCTGAACCAAAAATACTTGTCATGTAACAGATTTACAAAAAACTAAATGTAAAGTTTGTCTGCCAGTCATCAAATCAATTACACAATGTCATAAGTAGGAAAGCAAGTCTCTATCAGAAAAAGGGATGTATTAATTTAGGGATCTAACTGGGAGCCGCTTTCACAATAATGATCTGTGATCATTACATATTGTCTACACAGCCTGTGTGGTGAAAAAAGCATGTTAGCAAGACAGCAGCAGCAGTTTCAGTTCTCCATCTGTGGGTTCAGCCCAATATCCCTCCTCGACACCTCTGTCCTTGATCACTTGACCCGGAAATCGATCGAGACTCGCCATCTTGAAGGATGTCTTAATTCGCTAAATGCACTCAGGGGAGTCTAGGAGGCTTTCAGTGGGGAGGGAAGCAAGGATACATGAGTGGAGCCTTTGCGGAAGTCTTTGACTGCCCAACACACCCCCTGATTGGATATCAGTTATGACTGGACAGCACAGCACTGCAGCTGATGGGAATAATCTGATACATCATAACATCAGTGAAATGTCATTCCGGAGGGAACACAGATAAAGTGCAACACACACCGCCGCCGTACGCCGCGCGTCAAAACGCCCACCTCCATTATATTCTATGAACCAAACCACACTGGCGCCGGCTGACGCGCCGCACCGCGCCGCTCTGCTTCAGCCCACTGCTCTATTTCCAGCGCGGCCGGCGCTCATGGCGGCGCTGCGAGAAAAGCCTTTTATGTACGTCTTGTCTCGTAGGATCAACTCCGGTTGTTTCAAATTTTTAATAAGACGACTTTGATAAGAAACTCACCCGTGAAATTCAAGTTGTTGTTGCCTCAAAGTTTTTCCTCTTCTTCTTCTGTTACTAGCAGTTGGCAACCGTTGGCAACTGGTGTAGGTACAGCCTCCTAGCGGGTGGGGTGGGAAATACATGTTGACGGTGCCGCTGCGCACCGCTGCCAGTGTGTGTTGGGGGGCGGCCCTTGATGGCCACAGCGCCGCACCAGCAGCGGTGTGTGTTGCATTTATGAGATTAAACCCAAGTGTTTCACTCCCACGTTTGATGGCACCTGATTGACAGTACCTGGGGGGTACCAGAAGCTCAAAACAAGAGTCAACAGCAACAGCAAAAAAGCTGTTAGGCATTGACAGACAGGATTTGGCAAATTTTTCATTGGCGCGACCAGTGTTGGGGAAGTTACTTTTAAAAAGTAGTGTTTGCTCGTTACTCGTTACTTCTTAAAAAAAGTAATCCCTTACTTTACTTAGTTACCCTCTGTGAAAAGTAACTTTTTACGTTACTCGTTACTTTTACGTTACTTTTATGGTGCTTGACTCATACTTTGCAGTAAGCTACAGACCTGCACGAATAAATTAATTCATTTTCTCTTCTGGTATGGTATGTTATGGTATGGTAGGTACTTTATTAACCCCTCGATGGGAAATTTCAATGTCACAGCAGCAATTTATAATACACAAAATAGGAGCTGCTGCAACAGGCTGCCGTTCACACAGCGCCAGGAAGGTAGGCAGGTTATGATTGTTTTGTTTTTTGTTAACACATTGCTGCATTTTATTTATGTTTTGGTGGTTGTTTTGATTTCCTTTGAGGTTCCGGGGTCGTATGTTGCCCATGTCTGAGGTCTGACTAGCGAGGTTAACGTTACATTAAACAACACTTACCCAGCCATACAAGTGCAGTTCGCTGTCAGTATATAGTTGGTCGACTTGTTCAGAATCGCCCAGGTCTTGTACATTAGTTAACGTTACTGTTTTGTGTCCTTGTCGTTGGCTCGGCAGTACTTCGGTCCGTAGAGCACAAAAACCATCAGATAAATAAATCTTCCCGGTATTCAATATCTTGGACATGACTGCAAAGTACAAAATTATACACATCAAGGGATTTATATGCCTTGAGTTTTTCATGTGTATAAACGCTGGGTTTCTCCACAAGATATAAAAAAATGTCCGGCCACTGTAGCTTAGGCCATTTCATTGGGTTGGTGACCCACTGACCCGACATTAAGTACGGGTCAGGAAACCTCACTCCGTTGCTAATTATTAGCTTATTACAATAAGCTAACCTGTCTTCGGTTGACAAACCGTTAAAATAATCCAAGGAGGCGTGTGTATCTTCCATGTTCCTCATACGATTCTTGATTTTGGCGCTCCTGTCTGTACTGTTGACATGACAACTGTCACAGTTCCTGCCTAGTGCGCAGCTGAGGCAGACAGGCAGTGTCACCATCAAATCTGTCCCCGGGAAAAGTAATGTTGTGCCTAACTGACAAAGTAACTACGTTCCGTTACCATATTTTCAGTAGTAACGCGTTACACTACTTTTTATCCAATAAAAGTAGTTACGTTACTGTAACGTGTTACTTTGTAACGCGTTACGCACAACACTGGGCGCGACCCACATACTCAGCTCTGCTGCTCATCCCACAAATGCATGTTCCTTACAAATGTGGCACCATTTGAAAAGGAAATAAACAGGCTTTCCAACGGTATAAGATTTATTGTCAAGAAGCAACAACTTTGTTACAACAAAGAAATAATCTATGAAACACAATTTTCCTTACTTTTTGTGCTTAGTGTGTGTGCAGACACAATCTTTGTATAGCTGTTAATAAAGCCTCCTGACAGCTGATCCAGCTGTAATCAGCTGCCGCCATCATCACAAACTGATGTCGCTTCGGGTGACGCTTCAGAGGAAAGGACGTCTCATTTCTCTAAAGACATATTTCCTTGTTTCTTCTCTCCTCGTATCTCATTCTCGCATCTCTCCCCCGTGTCTTACAAAAGGCAGATCTAAGATGTGAGAGAAGATGTGAGGGAAATGTGGATGTGAGATCAGGTATTGGGATGAACCCTGTGTCTGCACTGTAGGGCTGCACCTACTGAACAGCAGAATAGTAAGAAGTAAAGAACAACAAAAAAGTCAGTCTTGTTGGTTTCTCATTCTGTCAACAAAATGCTTTTACTTAAGCCTAGCTCGCAATTTTCACCGCGATTTTGACATTGCAGAGGATCTTGAGAGCCACCTTGGGTCGAAGGTGAGTCAGCAGACAGTCTGCCACTACGAGTTCTCATGTGTGAACAAGCCTACTAGCAAGTCACCGCCTCGTCTGTGACTGAGACTGGATATCTGGCATGCTAGAAAACTGGAGAAGTGTGACATGACTGACAAAGAGCATCTGCCAATGAGAGGCGGGATATGTCCCATGTCAGCACGAAGGAGGATGGAAGAAATGTGAGGAGGACAAGCCATAGGGTTGCCAGGTCCGCTTATTAGCCGCAACTTTGGGCTTGTTTCTAAAGTGGCGTTGCTTATTTGGGCTTGCTCTCTAAACGTCACCTTCCTCTATATATATCCGTTTAATAAGGTATTTAAAAGCATGATAGTCGCTTCTTTTGGGCTTGTTTCCATAGCCCTGGTTGCCTCTTTCTCTCTAAAGATCTGGCAACACTGACAAGCCGGCAAGCGGCAAGCGGCAAGCAACAACAACAACGGCGGCGTACACAGGATCACGGGGAGCGCGTTGTGTTTGGACCCAGGTCCTGGAGGCAGATCTGATTCAACACTGGGAAGAATATCCATGCCTTTACGATGTGTCGTCTCCGAGTTAAAAAACGTAGTTTGGTAATGTCACTGTGCTATCTGGGGCTCTGTCAGCGAGGGCTCGGTGGAGAAATCTTGTGGTGTGCACACACAGGTCGTAACACAGTTGGCGAGACTCCCGCTGACAGAAACACACGTCACCAGGTATGAACACTCAAAGGATAACAATAGTCTCCACGACACAAAATCAGGGTGAAAATCGTGTAATGTGAACTAGGCTTTAGTCTGTTCAATCAAAAGAGTAGTACAAAGAATTTCCAGGAAGCTGTTATTATTATTATTATTATTATTATTATTATCATCAATAATAATAATATTATATATATTATTATCATCATCATAATAACAGTACTATTTAATTTTTCTATATAATATTTTCTTTATTTATAGTGACATTTGGTCAGTGGGATGCATACTTTATGAGCTGTATACTCGAGAACCAGCGGTAAGTAACCCAATATTATAACCCAAAGTTTTGCATGTTATCAAAAATGTAAGATATCAAATCCATGAATGAGATTAAAAAAGTCCACCACAACTGGGCTATGTATTCTTGTGTAAAATTTATGATAGTATCTATAAACAATATTCCTAAGAAAAGAAATAAATATGCTGCTGTGTTATATTACAGAGCATGAGGACAGTCTTCAATATTATGCAATCATGTGTTTTCCATGCACAAGGAAAATACATACAGTATTATGAAACGTGTGTGTTTTAGGTAAATACTTGAGTTTGATGTTAAGTCTACAACAAAGATTAGCTTGATAAATACCAATATTTATATACATGCATACAATTTAATAGACAATCTCATTGTAATTAGTATTAAGTGTTTTCTAACAATAAATCTCCTTAAGTTCTTTGCAGAGACTACACTCCAGCTCATACCCAAGATAATCAGTGGTCATTACCCATCTCGCCCAGAGAACTTCTCATCAGAGCTTTGGGGAATACTGAAAGAGATATTCAGTAAAGACCCTCAATCAAGACCAACAGCCAATGAGATCCTAAAGCGTCCTATTATGATACACTGTCTGTCAGAAAAGGTATGATATTTTAGTTTTAGCTAACTAACATCATTATGTTTGCTACAGAAATATGCAGTATATAGATGATAAACATTACATGGCCCGCTGGTGTATATTCGTGATAAAAGTAAGCTTAAGCGGGGCGCCGGTGGCTTAGTGGTAGAGCAGGCGCCCCATGTACAAGGCTGTTGCCGCAGATAGACAGCACAGGAGCAGTTTAGGAGCAGGTCAGTGCACCCTAAATGACTCAAAATGCAGTGAAGACTCTCAGGAAAGTTTTTATTACATGCCAATTTTGGTACAATTTACTCGCCAGTGTGGAAGATAGCCTGCCGAGATTTACTCGCCAAACACCCACACTCGGCACTTTACTGGTGTTTATTCCAGAACCTGAGTAGACACATACATCCATTCATAAGGTGAAAAGAACCTCAGGAGATCAGCAAAAACAAGTTCTTCGGGGTACTCTCCAAGTACCTAATCTAGTACTGACGATGTCTTTGATTTTTTTGATAGTGCAAAACAACTGTAAAGGAACTCCAGACCATGGTGGACAAGTTAAGGGATGTGGCTGACAGTCTGGAACGTGTGCATCAGGGTGCCACCATCGGCAGTCTGACAGGAGGAGTGATTGGAGCGGTGGGAGGGATTACATCTGTAGTGGGCCTTATACTGGCTCCCTTCACTCTCGGAGCCTCTCTCATTGTCACTGGGGTTGGAATAGGGGTGGGTGCAGCTGGTGGGGTCGCTGCTGGTGCCTCGAGTATCACTAATATGGTCAACCAGTCGTCTGATTGCAAAGCTGTTCGAAGCATCATTAAGAAGATTGAACAGAAAGTTAATTCAGTTGTCTGCTGGCAACAGGAAATTAGCTACATCTTAGAGGAAATCATGAGCAGATGTGACTCAGCTGACACAACTAGCAATGAGGTCAGTGAGTTAAACCAAGGCAACTTGGTAGCTGGCTGCATGAGGACAGGAAAGGGCCTTGGTGGCATTGCTGAACTGGTGCGATTAGTTCAAGTGACGAACATAGGCAAAGTTGCAGCACAAGGGGCCAGGGCAGTACGTGTGGCAGAGGTAGCATCAGGTGTGCTCTCTGGTTTACTTTTGGCAGTGGATATATTCTTCATTGCCATGGATGCAAAAGAGATACACCACATCAGACAGGCAAAGGCAGCAAGGGAAAGAGAGGGAACTCCTTCTGGGCCAGTGTCTAAGACGGACACCATTGATTCTGACCTTGCTGAACTTGTGTCTGACAGATCAAAGGTACAGGACCAGACTTCCACAATCAGATCTGAGATCATGAAATTTGCTCATTCAATCAGGCAGGCAGCGGATGACTTGCAGAAAAACGTAGAGGAGCTGAGATGCATCAACGTAATGTTCCCCTCACCTGAGGAGCTAAACCAGCTGAGAGAGAGGTCACATTAAATGAAATCTTGTAAAATATCAGGTGTAATTGTTAACACCAGTGTTGTCACAAGTGTATTAACCTTTGGCATCCCTAGTAGTTGCTCCATGGTCACTTACAATCTGAACATTAAGTTTACTCTTTTGTGTGTCTTTTTTTATTATTTGGTTAATTAATGTATTGTTTACATTGCAGTCAAAGCCCCTATGACTGTGTAGGATTTTAAGATTGTTAATTTGTTGATGATTTCTAGTTTTAGCATCAAAGCACCGTGTTGCACCGTAATGCAAGTGACAATAACTTCAAGGTGAAGTGTGTAAGCAGACTGCAACCAGCTAAAACTTCTCCCAGCTAGAATGCCTTTAATGTTCTTGGTTCAGGAATTTTTTATGGGGAGCCAAAATATCCACAGAGGTCTCTTCCTCTCCAAAACAAATGGACCAGGCCGGTAAAAACACTGAATAAAGTCACAAATCAGTGCATCTCCAACTCTGTTCATCATCTCGAGACAGGAGGCTCCCTTTTCTCTCATAGGTTAATATGCACTCACCATATTTTGATCCAGACAATCAGGGGTTTTTTTTTTACTGTGAGCTGAATTATCCACAGTGGTGATTTAAACTGGTAAAAACACTGCATAAGGCAGTTTCACGTTACAAATCCATGTATCTCCAATGCAGTCTGGCATGTTGCTGCAGGTGGCTAGTGCGACACATACTAATGTGTGGTCACCGTTTTTTTCCTCTACTAAGATAGAAGCCAGAAGCCAAATTATACACAGAGGTCTCTTCCTCTTCAAAACAAACAGACCAGGTAATTTAAACTGCTAGAAACATTAAATAAAGCAGTTTCACATTACAAATCAGTGTAACTCCGGCGCCACTCATTGCAATTGGGCTTCTTACTACGATGGCAGACATGAAAATGCAGAAAGGCAAATGGCTCTATGTGGAGCCAGTGTCTGATTTGTCTGTTCTGGACTACTGTAGAAACATGGCGATGCAACACGGTGATCTCCATGGAAGAGGACCCACTACCTGTGTAGATATAAACTTCTTATTGTAAGGTGAGGAGAACACAACAATTCTTATTTTCAGGTGATTATACACTAAAGAAAACATACTATGATATTACATTTAATTTACAGTTTTGTTTAAATATCCCACTAAATCCTACACACTTTAAGAAAACGCATTAATGAGAAAGATGATCTTATCTTACATTGTATAAATAGGAGCTTTAACTGCATTGAAACATGCATGCTCGAGTTATTTGCCATAATTCATTTGCTTTTTTGCAGTTTAAGATGATTTTTTTATTTTTGAAGGTGGCAAAGAGAGAAAAATGGGATACTTTTTTTGCTCTCTTCTCTCTTCACCATCTCAACTAATTCCTAAGATTGCTTGCTGAGTTTGTGGGGGGAGACGTACTCAGTGAAGTCAGAGTTTTACAGTCTTCATTTTCTAATCATTCTCATGTATTTAGTAAAGTGCATATTTTGCCTAATTCTTATCCGTAGTTTCTTTAAACACATCCCTAGGTACCTTTAGTATGTTCATTCTTACTGAAAGTTGTTCTCACTTATAATCATCCTTTGTGTATTAATTCTTATTATGTTGTTCTCATGGGAACTGCGCATTGGTTCGACTGCGCATTGGTTCGACAGCCCATTGGTTCGACACCCCATTTTTCCGACCTTATTAAACCCATTGTTCCGAAGTCCGTTCCGAAATCATCATGATGCCCTGTGGTTAAGGTCTGGTTAGGTTTAGGCACAAAAACCACTTGGTTAGGGTCAGGAAAAGATCAGGGTGTGGGTTAAAATGAAAAAGAAAGTGACCAACACATAAGCCGTGAGCCTGCTCTGCCTCAAGCCGGTCGCGGCGCACCATACGCCCACCGCGAGCCGTTCAGCACCGCGGACAGTCGGACTAATGGGGTGTCGAACCAATGACATGGACCCGTACTCATAGTGATATACTTGTACTCTTATAATCATTTGTCTGTAATCATCTTTGTATATTGCATTTATCATTTTTATGGTAGAGCAGGCGCCCCATGTACAAGGGCGGCCCGGGTTCGAATCCAGCCTGTGGCCCTTTGCTGCATGTCACCCCCCCCACCAAGCGGAAATGTAACTACATACTTAACACATTATCAAGTCCCGTCACAGAACATGTAAAGGCCAGACAGACTCAGAGTGGGGTGTTTTACTATGGTGGCCACTCACCTGACTGTTTTCTTTTTATTTCTTTGGGCGTTAGCCACAACTAGTAACCTCTGTATTAGACTCTGAATCATTCTTTTGTATTGCCTTTTTTGAATTTTTTAACTTACTTTTAACTTTAAGTTGTATCCTAGACACTGAAACTTTTGCTGATTTTGCTTCAAATAAAGAAGATTAAAACTTGTTGAAAGAGACCATTCATTTTTCTTTTTGGGTCTCCCTTGCCGGCCGACCAGGCTTGGTCCTCCTCCCAGCATAAGGTACCTTAACTAAAGAGCTGATCCCTGACAATAAGGCCTCTTCCTGCTCGGGGCTATGGCGAGCAGGAGCGAGGGGGGCACGCGTGTCTGGTCAAATGGCCCGTCCTCGGTATGAGACCAAAAAGAGTGTGGGGGCGATACCTTGTGGATAAAGCCGCCACACTATTGTCAAGGCCTGACCCTCCCTAAATGAAATGATGCCCTAAGAACACTGCTGCCCGGTTTTAAAAGAGCTTCCTTTGAGGAAACATGGAGGTACCACCAACAGAGAGCCGCCCTTTCTTTTCAATATAAACATAAGGATCTTAACATGCTGCTGTATGTCTACATTAAACTGGGCTTACCATATGAATGCATTTATTACACATACCAATATTGTATATCTGTACTGATAAACAATAATCGCATGTTGTATCAAGGATTCAAGATTTCATCATTAAAACCCACATAAAGCCAATACTCTTTATATTTCCTGTTTAGTCGGTGATTGGCTGGGTCTAACTCTCACATAACTGGAAAATATTCATTTACATCTTAGTGTCCAGAAGGCACAGTGACTCACTGCTTAGTACTGTCACCTCACAGCAGGAAGGTCTTGGGTTTAAATCTGTCAGCTGGCCGGACCCTTTTTGGATGTAATTTGCATGTCTGGGTTTCCTTACAGCGGTCATGCAGGTTAGAGAAATGGAAACCCTTAATTGTCCATAGGTATCAGTGTGTCATTTTCTGTCAGTCCTGTGAGAGAGCCACACTGAGTTTAAAAAGTCCTTCTTTCAGGTGTTTCTGTAACATTATGGTTCTACTATGACCGTATATTGTGTTTCAAAGTCAGCAATTTGTTCATGGTGCCAAATGAAGGAATATACTTAATTTTGCTGTAGGGAATCAATCAAGTGAAAAGGAAGAACTTTGTACAATCTACAAGCAGCTGTTGATGACAGATGTTGGTAAGAATCAAGAATCATTTTGCAGTCTTCCTTCATGTTATTGCAACTGTGCATGTTAATGTGTTGCTAAAGAATCAAAGCACTATCATATTAAAGGTCAAACACTGCCTTGCACAGTTTGCCATTGACCTGGTCCTTGCAGGCAAGAGATGTACAGCAGAAAATGCATTCACCCTTGACACAGTAATTGCAGCAGACCTTTGATTTGCCACCGACACACACCCTATGTGCCTCCTCAATGTCATGGTGAAGGAATGTCCTCTGCTGTGATCAAGGGTGACTCAACCTTGCATTAAGAGGTATCACTCCCATTTTATGATGTTTTTGCATATTACTTAATTCATCCTGATTTTAAATGTAAATAGGCTCAGCTTTATTTTTAGGCTATCATTAGGTATACTGTTGCTTTTTAAAAGACCAAGAAGACACAGTTTTAAATACGAATCAGGGTTCAACTCTAAAGTTGTTTTTTTTTCACTTGCCTGGTCGGGCAAGTTGGTCAGAGATCTACTTGCCCGAAGTCAGTTTTTACTTGCCCTATAAAAATTGTTTAATTTAAGCGGCTATCAATTAACAAAGACTGCAGTTATTTTTATGTTATGTAGCCTAATCTTTATTCACACTGTATTTATTAATTAAAACAACATATGTCATGTAGACTATTGTAGCTTAATTCCTACACAAATATGACAGTGTCAGGGCTTAAAGTGAAAAATTTGTCAATCATTCTCCGTCTATAATTTTGCACCCTACTTGAGCCATGCCCACCTCTATTTATTTTTCACCCCTCTCTCCAGTTCTGCTGTATTAATATATTTTGCCTCCATCTCTCTGCCCTGCTCTACTCTACTCTACTCTACTTCAACGCTACTTAGCTCTCTCTCTACTCTACCAGTAGACTACCACATCCACCTGTTGCACAAAACGCACACAGCAGTGTTTCCCCTAGGATGGAGTTGTAGCAGTAGAGGTGAAGCACTTGCATGAATAATAATTTTCACATTCTTGAAACTTTTTTGTTTGCTTGCTAAGCACAGCCTGCTGGGATTTTTCTTTTTATCTACTGGTACCAGAAGGGCTCTTTAGTACTAAGTACATACAGTACATGTGTGCACAGTAATGAGCAGGTGAAATGTCTGTCTAGCTTACATATGAGGTGTCTCAAGATTTAGGAACATACAATTGTATTGAATATAATAAAAGTAAAAAGTCACTTGACATGCTGCTGTTTTGTGCTATGACCTATTTAAGTGTTGGAAGTTGTTATTTACCTGACAACGCCTGAATGCAACACAAGCTCAGCATGAGTGTTGCTCTGCGAGCAGCGTGTTTGTCTGTGCTTAACAGCAGTCTGTTGATGGTTATTTACACACTGTCCATTTCAATAACTTTGTCAGCTGACAAACTGCACCGGGCTCAGGGTCAGGTTTGGTCAGGAAAATGTGGCCCGAGCCGCTCTAGTGTGCTCACCTGTGTGTGATGCGGAACTCCGCCATGCGTGATACAGAGAGCAGAGGAGAATTGTTAACGCGTGACCATGTAGAGACAGAAATGACACAATGACATAACACCATAAATAGTATATTGTTATGTTATTATATGAAGCGTCCATCGCGCCAAATAATATCAATGGGGGCTGTGGGCAGGACAATGTTACACAGCGTGTGCCTGTGACTTCAGGCAGAGAGACCGCTGCATCAGAGCCGAAGGAACACGTTTTAAAATACATTTATTTTATCAGTTATTAACTTTTACTATTTTTAGCAACTTGCCCAATCGGGCAAATGAGTTGTTAGTTTACATGCCCAACCTTGAGTTTTACTTGCCCCAGGCAATCAGGCAATCGTTATTGTTGAGCCCTGCGAATACAAATTAAATACTTGGTAATTGTTGTACACAGAACACAGAAAGGCAATGAAGCGCAATACGGGACACAGCATTTATTTCAGCTGAGAGGGTTCAGTATTAACTTCTCTTTCATTGTTGTTTTTGTTTAGCAATATGATGGTTGGTCTTTGTGGTATTTGTCCTGCCCCTCCTCCACTGTTATTGGACAGCTAGGTTAAAAGTAGGCCTAATTATGATGAGTGGATGAATAATATTTTTGTCAACCACAAAAAATTGGCAAACGTGCAGTGCTCAGCGCAGAATAGACGCTCAGCACATCACCATTTGTAGCATGATGCAATATTCTGCTTATTGCGACAGCCCTTCTCTTCACCAACATCACCCCTCAGAAAGTCACAAAAACACGAATTGAATTAGGAAACCTCACTGTGTCACAGGAACAAGCAATTCACTTAAGCAAACATACACACATGGGGAGGCATACACCCACAATAGTTTTAACAGTTCAGTCACTTTTAATTAATCAAAGAAATAAAGACAAATATCTTAAGGATAAAAGGCATTTCTTTCCAAACTATTATCAAATAAAAGGAGAATAAACACTAGACTAGACACTACACTATGGTAGTATTTATGTAGCATACCCAAATTTAATGTTTAAACTGGTGAGCTTTATTTATTTATTATCATTATTTTTAAATATACAGTCATTCTAAAACTGATGCTAGCAACAGGTTCCAAAAAAGTTGGGGCAGGGGCATGTTAACCACTGTGCTACATCACCATCTCTTGAAGCAACACCTAGTCTGTGTTTGGGAATTAAGGACACTAACTGTTGAAGTTTTGAAAGTGAAATTTCTTTCTCAAGATTCATCAGCAGGCCCACAAAAATCCTCAGGATTCAAGACTGTCTGTGTAGAAGAATGGGGCAAAATCCCACCTGAACACTGTGTGATTAGTTTTCTCATACAGGAAGCGTCTTGAAGCTGGCATAGCAAACACAGGCTTCTCCAAGTATTAAATAAATTTCAGTTAGCGTGTTCAATACATTTACCGGTGTCATCCCACTGTATTCCACTGCACATCATTTTTATGAATTGAAATGTAAGGATTTCTTTATCAGTGTAGTTTTATTGCATTAATACCAATGTCTGAGCTAAATTTCATAGCTGCATTGGAAATGTGTGGAATGGAAAAAAAAACTGTGTTGAATGGTTATTTTCTCCACTGTATGTTGAAAAGGATTTGCAAATCACTGCACTCTGTTTTTATTCCTGTTTTACACAGCGTTCCAACTCTTTGGGAATCAGGGTTAAGTAAGGAGGAAGAAGTGCCACAAGTGTATTTTGTGTACTGAGCAAAACGGTAGTGCAATTTGAAGTTTTCTCAACTTTTCACATCTTCCAACTCAGTGCCATCTGTGTCTGTCCACTCAGCCATCACAGCACCCCGAGGCTGTCAATCACCTCATTAACCCAGCAAAGAA